GGCCTTTCCTTTTTCTAAATACTAAAGACTGTCAAAATTGTTCCTAGAAGAAAATATTGATGAAACAATATATTTTATATAGACAAAACTCTGTTAACCCCGTCCCCCCAACATACATATAGAGAGAACAATTTTGAAAAATGGGCTTTGTTTTTGCTTTTCTTTCATTTGCATGCCTGTTATAAAACATATTGCGAGAACTCTTTTGCAAATTACCACTGAGCTTTGGGGACAGCCAAACAAGTGGATTCATTCTCCACCACATAACAATCTAGAGTTTTCAGACTTCATGGATGAGCAAAAGAAATTTAAACTCTTTCCAGAGCAACCTGCTTTGTTTTTAGAGAAGTCCATCCCACTAAGTTGAACACAGGTCTTGTCTTTTCCAAGTTTTTCTTTTCTCTTTGCTTCCAGGTTTAACACTGAGTCGAAGAATTCCATAATAAGTCTCCCATCCAAATACTAAACACATTAGATCCAGCTTAGCTCTGAGTAGCTACCATGATCACCTCTTCAGAGCTTAAAATGCAGCAAGGTGAAATTACCTTCCTATTCTCAAATTCTGTGTGCATTTTCATCCTCACACAGTGTACTTAGACTTCCTCTTTACTAATTAAGAGATGGAGTTATTTATGGTTAAAATAGTTGTGCAACATTGACATTTTGAGTCCAGATATGTTCATTTGTGTTCATATGTGGTATTGCTTCCATTGAGTGAAAAAGGTTATGTTCAAATTTAGGCCAATCACTGTCAGAAGTTATGAATATAAAATGAAGCAGAAATACCATAGAGATATAGGTTTTTCTCTCTCTCTTTTTCACACACACACACACACACCACAAAAACATGAACACACAAACACACACACATTTCTTTGAGCTCTTGGGGAAAACCTAGGATAAAAATCTAACAAACTACAGTAAATAACATAAAAACAGATGGCATTTAAATATTAATCAGCAGCTAAGTAAGAATATTCATTTAAGTTTGTTGTCCTTGTTAGATATTCTGTTGTACCTCCTGATAACAGTGTCAAACCTCCATTTATGGTTTAAGATTGACATGTAGGGAGAAGGTTCTCCCATTGATCTATTCTCAAAGACTATACTCAGGCATTTATTTACTACTACTGGTTTTGGAGTTAGACCCTAATATGAAACCAACCCCATCATCCTGCCTTTTTTTTATATGAAAACCATCAACAGAGGCATCTCACCATCATAGTTTAATTAAATAATAATAATCAGAACTTTGGCTGCAGAATCAACAATCTTGAGATCAACTTTAATGTGCTAATAGCACTTCACTGCTACGCCTGTAGGCTGAGTCTGTTATATAATAGAAAACACTTTCCTGTTAGCTTTTATCGCAATAGCAATAGAAAAGTGGAAAATACATCCTTCCTCCCAAGAAAGTTGATGTTTCTGGAATCTTCCTTCAGGCTGGAGAGAAACTGTCATATTTGGAGCAAAGCATAGTCATAATTGATATTGTAATCTGTCTTTCAAACATAGAATCAGTCTCGTGCTTGCCATGGTTTATAGAAATGTGTCTCCAGGGAGCTAATGGTCTTTGATGGGAAGAAGAATTAGCTTCTTCCATTCTTCATCCCTTTTCAATTTTTAGGTCCTCTGAATTCACGTGAAGTGTATCACACAGAGACCAAGGAAGGACTTCTACAGATTTTCATTGTTCTCCTTGATAATTACTTAATAACAGAAGAAATAGTTAATAGATACTAGTTTCTTGTTAAGAAGAAACCTATTTCATTTAATACTATAGATCCATTTCTTTAGATACACCATTATCTGTGTTCCTGATGTGGTAGGTTATTATATTACCTTATATTCCAGAATTTATGGATATCTGGCTATTTATTGGGTAAATCACAGAAGATGGTAGATCTGGGCCCTGCTTTTGACAGATGGATATGCTTCTAAACATTAGCACCATCAATTTTCTTTGATTATTTATGGGTCCCAAATCATTCTTAGAAATATGTAGACTCTGTAAACAGCTTAAACAGTTTACAGCATTATGAAGCGGTATATAAATCTAAGCGCTATTGCTATTGCTAAAGATGGTCCTTATAGCAATACTTGGTCTTAATAAAGCAAAAATATTTGGACTCAGATTCTTATGGTTGCTAGGAAAATTCTGCATACATGCAGGGATATCAAATAAATCGATGGATCAATCCCAAATGCTTCAATTTGGATTTCTCATTTTAAATGTTGGTTTTAAAAGGTGGGTATTTTGGAAAGTCCATGCACAGGGAGGAAACCAGCAGGAATAGATAATTGTTGAAATTGTAAAAGCTTTTGTTGTTTTCCTATTGAACAACAAATTCTTTATTGTTTTGCTCTTCCTTTTATCTCTTCATCCTTAAATGTTTAGAATGGAGATAGAATTGAGTTTAGTGGTGTGATTTTTAATGAAGGAGGCTTAAGATGAAACTTCAGTTTCAAATGATTTTAATACTATTTTGAGTCTCTTATTTTTTTTTAAATAAAGAGAGAATAAAAGACAATGGAAAGTTTAATGTGAAACACTACGGCAGAGAATAAAATTTGAGATGCTGGTGGAATCAGTTTCTAATAATTTTCCTCTGGGCTGTTTCCTGACAAATGCAGTGTTGTCACAGATCACTATAACTATCATATCATACTAAAGTCATTTTGTGATCGTTTGGACCTAGCATGTTACATAAATGCAGCTATGGTGTGCAAAGCATGATTTACGACGGTGTGCAAAGCCAGTCTATGGATGCAAAGTCACCTTTGCCTTAGATATAATGTTGGAAAGATTGATGGGCTTTACTCAAACTCATTGGCTTGCAGACTTAATGACATTATTAAAGAAAGATCTTGTTCTCCATCTAACACAGTGCATAAAGTGCTTAAGCTGATTAAAATCAATGTCTGAAGGCCACTTAACTGGATTTCGACTACTGAGTGTTAACGTTTGCATGAGACTTTGGTGCAGTCTACCAGCTAGTCCAAACTTGGCATGATGCCAGACAGTTTGAGAGCTGATGTTGTCCACTTAGAAAAAAAAGGTCTCTAAAACTCTAAATATGTGATCGCCAAATATTACAGCTCCGTTCTGTGATCTCTGCAGGTTCTATACTTCTGTAGCTCACTGCAGGATAATGTGACTTTTGATAGTGCTTTGAAACGGAAACTGAAGTATGTAAAGCTTAGATTCGTAGCTCAGGAAATATTTTACACCATATCCCATTGTTTTCACTCTTTTTTCCTGCTGAATAATTGCATGCATAAGAGCGAGGTTTGCTTCAATAACTCGAATCTAGTAGAAATACTGTAATATTTTTGATGCAGGACTTGACAATATTAAGCCACTTATGTTCTTAAACGATCTTGATATAGCCAGCCATTCTGAATTGTTCTTCCTTTATATGAAAACTGAGCTACTCCTTTCAGCCATTGTTTTATGTCTACACTTTGCTGTTATGATCCTGCCACAGAACGAATAGCCGATATGTTAGAGAATTCTGCCCAGTTTTGCGTCAGGAAAAAATGAGTTATGTTAGAAGTAAGTTAGAGACATGGGAACTCTACAACAAGAGATTGGGTTCTCCCTCGTTCCCTGTTCCATTCAACACTGATATTATTTCCTGTTTTGGCAGCCCAACAAACATTTTGTATTGCTTATAAAAAATAGGAAAGTTGTAGGAGCTTGCAGATTTGCAGTTTGCCCAGTTGCAAACAAGGGAGTGCAAGGTAATTGGCTAATATCCAAGTAAAAAGTCCTTATTTGTGTTCTGTGGGGAAGAGTTCTTTGAGATTCTAAGACAGACATGTCAAACACAAGGCCCGGGGGCCGGATGCGGCCCGCGAAGTGGTTTCATGTGGCCCACGAAGCCATCCTGGAAACAGTGAGGGAACGGCCCCCACTGCCTTGGCCCTGGCCCAGGCTGGCCGGGAGCCAATGTACAATTTTGTGGTGGCCATCTTGGCACTTTCCCCGGTGGATCATGCCTTGGCACTTGCCCCGGTCCCACCCCCTTCTGCCAGAGACCCTCAGATCTGTCCCACTCCTGCCCAGGCCCCCATAGGCACCCTTGACGCGAATGATGTAGAACTGGCCACACCCACCCAGTAGGCTACACACACTCCATCCATGGCCACCCAGTAGGCTGCACCCACTCTGGCCACACACACCCTCAGTGAAATTGAGTTTGATACCCCTGTTCTAAGAGACGGGAATTTATTTTATTTGCAGCTAGTCCTTGATTTACAATCACGACTGGGCTCAAAAATTTCTATTGCTAAGCGAAACATTTGTTAAGTGAATTTTGCTCCATTTTACGACCTTCCTTGCCACAGTTCTTAAATGAATCCCTGCTGTTGTTAAGTTAATAACACAGTTGTGAAGTGACTCTGGTTTCCCCATTGATTTTGCTTGTCAAAAGGCTGCAAAAAGGGGGATTGCCGTAACCGTCATAAATGTGAGTCAGTTGCCAAGTGTTCTGAATTTTGATCACATGACGTGGGAATACTGCAATAGTCATAAGTGTGAGAAGCAGTCCCAAGTCGCTTTCTTTAGTGCCATTGTAACTTTGAATGATCCCTAAGTGAACTGTTGTAAGTCAAGGACTTCCTGTATTTATTTCTCAAATTTAGGTAATGCCCATCTCACTCACAGATGCCGGTGCAAAGAAAATGAGAATTGGAATATGTCTATCTTGCACCTTCAGAATTGGCTTTCTTGTTGGAAGCCTGTGCATTTTTTAAAATCCAACTTTATTCTGTATTTCAGGATCTTGCATTGTTCTGCCACTACTCTCTGTAGCTGGGAGATGCTGAATATAGAGTATTTTCTTTTTGCATTTCAGCAGCCTAGTTGCATAGGAATGGAAGAGTAATTTTAAAAGTTTTGTTTGGATTGACACTGTCCTTTATCCTTTAAAAAAAAACTAATTGCTTTTGAAACATTTAAAAGAGATATTTTCTCATTTTTTGTATTTACATGGCAGCCCAAAACAGCTCCGAAAAGGACTTTTGGATCCATTACAAATGAACAGGTAATTACATACGCACACTCAGATATTCATCCTTCCTCTCCTCTTTTTTATTCTTTAAAATATGATCAAATAATTGAGCTTTGAAAGAGCCCAGTCATTTTTTCAAAATGCTGAAATTGGAATAGTGGGTGTTGGAAAATATGATTGAAATGTTTCTATAAATTGGAAATTGTGAAGGTAAGTGCATATTTCAATAAATCAATGTATATTATAATATCTTGAAAGAATCTTCGCAGTAAATTAACTTTTGGGTTCTGCATGACATCTAATATTAGAGCTTTATGATACCTGCATGTACATCACTAAATGTTACCTGAAAACCCATCATTTGGTGACTTGAGTAGGTAGGTCTTCACTGAAAATAATTATATTTCAGGTGACGTGAAACATCTGTGATATGATGTCTCCTTCATCTTTGCTAGTTGTTGCTTCCTGCTCCAGTCATCAAATTATCAATATATATTCTGATCATGCAGATTGCCATTCATTAGTTGGCCGTCACCGTATTGAGATTGTAGAACTCAACATCCATTGATGTCTTTTCAAGTTTTTGGTTATTCAGGCAGTGCTTTTTTTTCTTCTTACATGAAATCTAAATATTGGAGCAATCTTGACTCTGATGATGAAAAGTCATCCTGCATATAAAAGGGGGGGGGAAGCATGACGAATCCCAATTTAAATTATTTTTTTTAAAAAAAATATTTTCCCTATTTGCCTGCTGTTGTGCTTGTTTGCCATTACACGTTAACACACACTTGCTGCAAAGTGCCTGTATATCTGTATGTGTATGTATATGTATATGTTAACAGATAAAAGAAAAAACGAACACCAGGATATAATAAACCAGCCTGTTTAATATAAACAAGCCTGGGGTTAAAAAGAGTTACTAAGCTTTTGTCCGGCGAAAAAACTGCCGGCGTCATCAGAGTTAGAATAACAGGAGATATATTAAACAGGCTGGTTTATTATATCCTGGTGTTCGTTTTTTCTTTTATCTGTTAGCATAATGCCCAGGATTCGCATTTTTAGTATTTTAAAAGACAAATATGTATATGTATATGTATATGTATATGTATATGCAATGGTGGGATTCAGCTGGTTCGCATCGGTTCAGGAGAACCGGTAGCTAAATTTTGTTGAGTTCGGAGAACTGGCTGAACCCACGTTGCTTCTGGAAGTTTGTTCTAGGCCTCAGAGGCCTGGAGGAGGCCTCCCAGGCCTAGAACGGCCCACAGGAAGTGCGTGAATGCCACTTCCGGAACTCTATTCTAGGCTTCGGAGGCCCAGGCCTGCATCCACATAGAGAACCGATTGTTCAGGTATTTGAATCCCATCATTGTGTATATGTATACAGGATGTATATGTATGTATATATATACATATATATATATATATGTTGTATATGTGTATATATATATATGTTGTATATGTATGTATATTCAATAGCACAAACTTCGATCTCTGGGAGAGGTATAAACCAGTTGTTTATTGCTAAAAAGATATTTAAAAACAATAAAAGCAACTATTTACAATGTTAAAAGAAACAACTTAGCTTTTGCTGGTCCCCTGCCAGCGTCCTCAGAGTGGGGCTCAGGGGGTGGGGAGATTCTTTTTATACACCTTGCTGGTCTAACTGCTTACTCCTTGCCCGTGTCATAGGGCCCTCCTTCCTGATTAAGGAACTGATTTAAGGAGCTTAAATAATTTCCCCCTATTTAAAACATTTTTTTTTTCCTCCTGCTTCTTCTACAAGTATTTTGAAATCTCAGAAAGATGTGGGGGGAATCTGCCCTACTTGAGTATTTCACTGCTAGAATAGATACTAGGCAATTTTGCTTTTTTTTTTTTTTGATACTTTGTTTCAAAAGGAAAAAAAAAATGATAGCTCTCATCATCTGTGTTTGTTGAAAAACAAAATGGAGAGCCTCTGCCTGAATTAAATTCTCTGTGTTGTAGTTGCAGAGCTAAAGACAGAATAATCAATGCATGATTGTCAGATTGCATACAAATAAAGAAGTGCACGGAAGGCTATCTCTCCTACTTCTATGATGTTTCTTTCTTTTCTTTTCTTCTCAATTTTGCAAGCAAAAGAAAACAAAACACAGCCAGTCATAATTCAGGAGCTTTGCAAGCAAAAAAAAAAAAACAAAAAACAAACAAAAAAAAACCACACACACCAAGAAAAAAAATATGCCTACAATTCTCAAACTATTTGCTGTAGCAAAAGTCCTTCTGAAGTAACGAAGATGACTTTGAAGCAAAGAGGCTGACATGCCTTCTCTTAATGAAGAGAAGGACGAGGGGGGACATGATAGCAGTGTTCCAATATCTCAGGGGCTGCCACAAAGAAGAGGGGGTCAAGCTATTTTCCAAAGCGCCTGAAGGCAGGACAAGAAGCAATGGGTGGAAACTAATCAAGGAGAGAAGCAACCTAGAACTAAGGAGAAACTTCCTGACAGTGAGAACAATTAACCAGTGGAACAACCTGCCTCCAGAAGTGGTGAATGCTCCAACACTGGAAGTTTTTAAGAAGAGACTGGGCAGCCATTTGTCCGAAATGGTGTAGGATTTCCTGCCTGAGCGGGGGGTTGGATTAGATGACTTCCAAGGTCCCTTCCAACATTATTATTATTATTATTATTATTGATCTGGGCTGGGGGTACCTTCCTTTGGGTCTCATTAACTCAGGGGTCTTCAGACATGGCCCTTTTATGACTTATGGACTTCAACTCCCAGAATTCCTCAGCCAACGTGCCTGGCTGAGGAATTTTGGGAGTTGAAGTCCACAAGTCATAAAAGGGCCAAGTTTGAAGACCCCTGTGTTAACTGCTTCAGGTGCATTTTCTGTGTGTTAATGTTGGCAGCTGTGAGGACAGTTGTGAACCAGTTGGAAACTATTTGTTTAGGACAAGGGGGAATGGTGGTTTTGTGAAAGGGATCTTATTTGCCTCAGGCCTCTCAGCGCGTGAAAATGCCCAATGAGTTTGTTACACTTTAGACTACAAAGCTCTGGGCTGCTTTGCTCTGGATTCTGAGGGTTGCATTGCACCAGGAAATGACAGCCATGAACAGCAAAGAAGGAATGAGAGATGCCCTTTGTTCTTTCTTTCGTGTTTTCACCTCTGTCTTTGGTGTTTCTCCATTATCACTCTCTCCTTTGTTTGTGGTGGCAGTGTTCCTTTTGGTTCCTGTCAGCTCTATTTTCCATCATTCACAGAGATGCTATTGATGAATACTAATCACTTCTTTCTCCTTAGGGGAAAAAGGCTTATTTTTCCCTCTCTCTTTTCCTTTAAAAGAAAAAAAAAATGGGAAGAGAGATTCAACATTCCCAGATTGATATGTCCATCTGGAAGTGAAAATCTTTATTCCTGATTAATTCTACCCAAGCATTATTCTTGTATACTATGTGCAGAATTCATTTCTATTTCTACATATTGGTTTTAGTATGACGAGGAGGGAACATGACATAACCCACAAAACCGATGGCTGGTTCCTTATCACTCATCGTACGTTGTACGTTTATAATGATTGCATTATTTGTAATATCTGGAATGCAGATTTTTACTGCAGCCATGAAAGGCATGCTGATTTAAAAAACAAGAACAAAAACAAAACCAGAGATGTTTAGCCATCTTTATCTTGATTTGCTCACAACATTCCGAGGCAATTTAGTTGCAATTTTGGCCATTTCTGCTTCACACCAAAAGTTGCTGGCAATTTGTACTTTTTTTAAATAGGGCAACCCATGAATATGGCAAATATTTAATGACAAAGAATATTCAATGACTAGGGGAATCATGTTCAAAAAATAGCTGGAAGTCAGATGTTAGATATGCAAAGCAGCTGTACTGTGTGACTGAGGACAGCTGTGTTGCCTGGAGTCTCATATTCATCCATCCACAAGTTCTTCCAACTTAAAGACGTGTCACGTCATTAGGCTTTTGGAGCTGGATAAGAGTTAGGGAACATTTAAAAAGTTGAAAAGTGCTGCCGAAGTTGCTTTGGGGGTGAGAGTGTTTCAAACTCTCGACACTAAGCTTAAGGACACGATTAAAAAGGTTAAAAGGATGAAGTCTCCCTCAAGTCAAGCTTGACTCCTGGTGACCTTATGGACTTGACTAGTTGTTGTTGGTTTTTTTTTTCTTTTTTCCTTGGCAACACTACAAAATTATTGCTTTAGTTCTTTTCAACTTGCTTGAATAGCCTACAGCCTTGGTATCTTCTGGCAGGCATTCATCCAAAAAGAGCTTATGTCTGATTCTGCTTAGCTTTTTTAACATCAGCCAAGTTTAGTTCGGTTCTGCCACTTGCTAGAACTAGCTGGGTTGCTAGGAGGCCTGTTTTGGTTTATTGAATCCTGGGCTGACATTTTGAAGCTTATTGTTATACATGGACTAAGTTAAAGCTTTCAGAAAAAAGGGGATACCTTTCCCAGAACACCCCACTAATATATTGTTCTCTGTTATTGTATAATGTTTCCATGACTCTTGTTAAACACCATTCTTTCTTCTCTAACAAAGATGGTAAAGATGTTAAATGTCCAAGGTGTAAACAGGAAGAGCCCATCATTCAAAAGACATGTAGTTCATGCTTGGATGACATGATAGACATAGCTTATGGTTAGTTGCGAACATGATTGATGGCAAACAGCTGCCTTGTTTAATGCTTTTCAACTTCCAGCTACCACCAATCAAAGACACAAAACCAAGGAAACAGCTGATTATTTTAATTTCAGCCCTTGGTTAGTGAGCGTAGTAATCCGGGCTTGTTGATGCAGTAAGTCTTTAAAAAGTCTACAACAGATGTTTGATGTATCATGTTTTTAATCTATAATTAACCATCCGAAGTTCCTATAAGGAGATGGGTAACTCCATAAATTTCCATAAATAAAAAAATTTTGATAAGTCCATGAGATAATGGGAAAGAACTAGTTAGCATATGGAAAACCACAAGTTATCCTTGTCCTGTTATCAACATATGTGCATCAATGAATGCAGATTTGTGCAGTTTTTGCATTTCCACCAAATGCTGTCATAAAAAGAAGTCTTTCTGAGTTGCTTTCTCCTCCCTACTCCATCTTGATGAATATAGTTTAAAGCAGTGGTTCTCAACCTTTTCTTCACCACAGACCTCCTTTACATACCTTTTGTGGGACGGGACATGGTCATGGACCACCAAAACTTAACTCAAGATGGAAATCACAGCATTTCTTCTAGCCTTCTCAGACCCCCTATGATGACATTATGTTTCCCCTCCTCCCCAGGAATCTGTGGACCACAGATTGAAAACCACTGGTTTAAAGTATTTCTGGACCTTATTTTCAGAATGGTCTATATCAGTGATTCTCAACCTTTTTAATGCCGCGACCCCCAACCGGTCGTAAGTCGAGGATTACTCAACCGGTCGTAAGTCGAGGACTACTCAACTGGTGCAGCACCATTTGCAGAATGGGACTTTTGGCGGGCTCAGCAGGGCAAAGACAACCTGGACAATTCCTACTGGCTTTTGAAAGCCAATAGAATTAGACTCTATTCAAGAGAGTCTATTCTATTGGCTTTCAAAAGCCAATAGAATAAAAGGGAGCAGCACAGCTAAGGAAAAGGGGGAAAAATGGCGGACTGTGTTGTTTGGCGACCCCTGTGAAATGGTCGTTCGACTGCAAATGGGGTCCCGACCCACAGGTTGAGAACCACTGGTCTATATCCAATAGACAATTCTTATCCCCTTCTTATCTCATGCATATTTATTTTTAATCAGAAGCACACTATTAGTTATTTATTATTGCCATTTTTGTAAGCATGTTGGTTCTCAGTTATCACCACTTCCTAAGCTTTTGAAAAGTCTAGATGATCCTTTGGAAAAGATATTGATGAATGTCAGTCTGTTAGGTGGTAGAGATGATGTTTCCTCTGACATTCCTAACAGGGATAATCACAGAACGTCAAGCCCATATATGACTCATGAATGAATACCAGGTCATTGGTTAAATAACTGACATCAAATTATCCTTGAATATATTGAAAGTTAAGAATATATTTAATTCAAAGCACAATAGCCTGTAGGATCAATTGATAGTCAGGAAAACTAAAGAAGATGACCCATGGAATTAAGATGGATTTGTTTCCAAGGTCACAAGTCTTTAGACTTGTATCTTCTTTGGCATTACCTTAAAGCATAAACATATTTATTTATTTATTTATTTATGAGACTTATATACCGCTTTAAGTGCAAGCACTCTCTAAGAGGTGTACACCAGTAAGCAATGTATATATATATGTTTACATTGCCCCCAACAATCTGGGTCCTCATTTTACCTACCTCGGAAGGATGGAAGGCTGAGTCAACCTTGAGCCGGTGAGATTTGAACCGCTGACCTGCTGAACACAGTCAGCTAAAGTGGCCTGCAGTACTGCACTCTAACTGCTGCGCCACCTCGGCTCTTATGTGGGAAAATTCAGATTGATATCTTTCAGAAAAAAAAGGCACATTGTATATATAACAGATCTATGCAGTAATCTATTCTCTTCTCTCTTTCTATGGCTTCTAGGGTCAAAATGTATTTGGACTTGATATAATTGAAACACCTGAAGGAGACAAGTGGCCCCAGTTGATAGTGCAACAAATTCTTGACAGGGAGCAGAAGGACACCTATGTGATGAAGATTAAAGTGGAAGATGGTGGAAACCCTCCGAGATCCAGCACAGCCATTCTGCAAGTCACCGTCATTGATGTGAATGACAACCGTCCAGTCTTCAAGGAGAATGATATTGAAGTCAACGTACCTGAAAATGCACCCGTGGGCACCTCCGTTTCTCAACTCCATGCCACCGATGCCGACTTAGGGTCCAACGCCCAGATTCACTTCTATTTTAGCAGCCAGATCTCCAGTTTGGCCAAAAGGCTGTTTGCCATAGATAACACGAGTGGTCTTATCACTGTCAGGGAGCCCTTGGATCGCGAGGAATCCCCAGTACACAAATTAACTGTTTTGGCAAGCGATGGCAGTTCCACACCCTCCAGAGCTACCGTAACAGTGAACGTCACAGACATTAACGATAACATTCCCTCAATAGACACAAGATACATTATCAACCCAGTGAACGGGACTGTGTTACTATCTGAGAAAGCACCGCTCAATACTAAGATTGCCCTGATTACTGTAATGGATAAGGATGCTGATCTCAATGGCAAGGTTACTTGCTTCACAGACCACGATGTCCCATTCAGGTTAAAGCCGGTGTTTGATAACCAATTTCTCCTGGAAACGGCCACCTTCCTAGACTACGAGGCCACCAGAGAATATGCCATAAAAATAGTGGCTTCTGACTCGGGAAAGCCACCCTTGAACCAATCTGCGATGCTGCTGATCAAAATTAAAGATGAAAATGACAACGCCCCGGTGTTCACGCAGCCTGTGATCGGGCTCTCCATTCCCGAGAACAACGCTCCTGGAACCCAGCTGACCAAGATAAGTGCTACCGATGCTGACAGTGGCCGCAATGCTGAAATCAGCTACATGCTGGGACTGGATGCTCCCCCTATTTTCAACCTGGATCGCCGTACAGGCATTCTGACAGCCGTGAGAAAGCTGGATAGAGAAAAACAGGATCGCTATTCATTCACCGTGCTGGCTAAAGATAACGGCATGCCACCTTTGCAAACCAATGCTACCGTGACTGTTTCTGTTTTGGACCAAAATGACAACAGCCCTGCTTTCACACACAATGAGTACAACTTCTATGTGCCAGAAAATCTACCTATGTATGGCACTGTTGGACTGATCACTGTGACAGATGCAGACTCTGGAGAAAATGCAATAGTGACCTTGTCTATATTAAATGGCAAAGATAATTTCATTATCGATCCTCTCACTGGAGTCATAAGGCCTAATATTACTTTTGACAGGGAGCAGCAAGGATCTTATACTTTTCAGGTGAAAGCAGTGGACGGGGGCAGGCTACCACGCACCTCCACGGCTAAAGTCACTATCAATGTGGTCGATGTGAACGACAACAGGCCTGTTTTTGTCATTCCTTCCACCAACTACTCCTATGACCTGGTTCCAATGTCTGCCAGTCCCGGCTCAGTAGTGACAAAAGTGTTTGCTGTGGACAATGACACTGGAATGAATGCTGAGCTGCGTTACAGCATTATTGGTGGGAATTCGCGAGGGTTGTTTATGATTGATCAGTTAACGGGCAATGTCACTTTGAAGGAGAAAGTCATCTCAGCAGATCATGGGTTGCACAGACTGGTAATCAAAGTCAATGATTTAGGGCAGCCCGAATCTTTATATACCATTGCATTAGTGCATTTGTTTGTGAACGAAACAGTCACCAACGGATCCTACGTCCAAGAGTTGGTGCGCCGAAACATGGAAACTCCAGTTGGCCAAAACGTTGGGGATGGAGACATCACCCCACAAACCAATGACTACGTCAAAATCATCATTGCCATTATTGCAGGCACCATGACGGTGATACTGGTCATTTTTGTGACCGCTCTGGTACGTTGCCGCCAAACCCCCAGGCACAAAGTGGTGCAGAAAAGCAAGCAGAGTGGCGAGTGGGTCTCCCCGAATCAAGAAAACCGTCAGATCAAGAAGAAGAAGAAAAAGAAGAAGCGGTCTCCCAAAAGTCTTCTTCTGAACTTTGTGACCATTGAAGAATCCAAGCCTGATGATCCTGGCCACGAACACATTAATGGCACTTTGGACATTCCTGTAGAGCTAGAAGAACAGACTATGGGAAAATATAACTGGGCCACCACACCCACCACCTTTAAACCTGACAGTCCAGATTTAGCAAAGCACTACAAGTCTGCCACTCCACAGCCCACGTTTCAAATTAAACCTGAGACTCCAGTGCCACCGAAGAAACACCATGTCATACAGGAGCTGCCTCTAGATAACACATTTGTGGTGGGCTGTGACACCCTCTCCAAGTGTTCTTCCAGTAGCTCAGACCCGTACAGTGTCTCTGAATGCAGCTGTCAAGGAGGATTCAAGGCTCCTGGCTCTGTTCATACCAGACAGGTAAGGACAGTTTTACATCTTTCTTTCTGCTTTGACAACCTCCCTTCTTTCTGCTTTGCTTTCTTCCTTGTATTATACTCTGCCTTTAGAATGTGGATAGATAGATAGATAGATAGATAGATAGATAGATAGATAGATAGATAGATAGATAGATAGATAGATAGATAGATGATAACAGACAGACAGACAGACAGAATCATTGAAAAGTAAACAGTTTGTGATTCATCAGTAGTAAAAGGAAGAAACGAAGTGACTTTTGACTACAAGGAAAATTTGATTGCTGAATGAGCTTGTCAGGGGGTAATTCTTGTCTGCAGATGGCAGTATGGTACTTTCCCCTTTGCATGCATATAGAGCAGATCTGCAGAAGAAAAGGGAGGCTGCAGTCTGGTCCAGCTAGCTGCTAGCATGATATGCTTGAGAATCTAAGGAATCTGGATCAGGTGGGAATCAGTAAAGTATTGCAGGTTCTCATAAATTGTTCTTAATGCTAATGGAGTGTGGAATTGCCAACTAATTTCATTTACTTGGATCGGTTCCTCAAAGTTTCTCAGAAGCAAACCCAACATCATCCCCCACGCCAATATTAGAACTCTTAAGGAATTGAGTGTCATTTGCAAGAATAGGCATTTATACTGCTGTAGAGATTCCTAAACACTAGGTGCCTGACACAATCAACAGAGGGAAACAACCCTAAAATTAACATTGAGTGGGGTATGAGTAGGGTAAACACAAATCCAGCTTTTAGAAACAAACACTGCTGTCCATTCCTACACTTGTCTACAAATGGGTTAAATTGCAGCTCTAATTTGCAGGTTAGGATAAGGAAGAGAGACAGACCACTTGTTAATACTTTGCTTTTCAATTGGTAAAGATAACATAATAGAAGCACAGTTCTAAAACATCATTGCCCAAAAAAGCAATGTTGGGTTAGAAGCATTCAGATATGAACACAGACACTGAAAGGAGCCAGAAACCCATTTTTATAAATTTTATATAAATTTGTCGTTGGGGATTGCAAGGTGAAATCAGATTTGATCATTCATGTGAGGGTGGACCTATTTGTTACCTAAAATTGTTCCAGCTAGGAATTAAGTTTTTGAATTTTGCTTACCGTTTCGGATGCATCTATCCAATTGGCAAGGTATGAAATGTTGAAGAAAGTTACAGTGATGGTCTTCTGAACCTTTAGAGTAGGATAACTGTACTTTCACACAACTAAACTTATAATTTCAGGACCAAATAATATTATTAGATTGATCAAACTGTATTTGTAATGCAAATGGCCCCAAAATCAGCATTCTTAATCTATGGCTAAAATTTGCCTTAAGATATGGGCATCAATGTTTAACATGTCTCCTATAATTTGGCAACCTACTCCTATTTATTTTGTATAGTTGTGCTGTCCATTTTGGTCCTTGGTAGCTAAAATCTATCCTATAAAGTATAAACTCCCATTTTTTTTTTAAAAAAAAAAATCTTGCTTTTTTTAGACATATTTTTCATCATTCTTCATATTTTCCAGTAAGCTACAACAATTGAACCAGGAACCTTTATGTGGATTCCATTATTTGTCTCTACCTTTTCTTTGTGCATGATCCCTTCTTTCCCTAAGCTGTATCCATAGGTTATGTCTTAAAAGAAGCAACCTAAAAAAAATCTCAAAAAGAGGGTGAAGCACTGTCATGACAGTGGTAGTAACTTCACTTATAAAACAAACAAATTCTTTCTAGATTCTTTGGCTTTAGAGAAGCTGAGTAAAACCAAAGGATCAGAAGGGATTCTGAAGCAGAGGAGGGATCCCTTAGGGGTGTGATATCTTATAATGATGTGAAAATTATATTTAACAAACTTTGAACCCACTGTACTTCGTACAGCAATAGGCTGACTTAACAATAAGTAATGTAGATCACCAGGGACATATATGTAGAATGAACCCATATTGGAGTTGTTGTTAGTTTGGAAAAGTAATTTATTTCACTGGTCATTGCTTTTCCCTATGAATTCTGGGAATGTGAACTATTCAGTAGAAGATGCAGCAACTACAGTAGGGGGAGAAATAATGGATGTTGAAGTTTGTGGTGTACCTAATATCCAGCTAGGGCAGTTTCCATGGATAATTGTTCTGCTCAGTGGAACATTCTGAATCCCCTGTGAATCCTCAATGCTACAGGAGCCCAGTTGCTTTCCTCTATGCTTGAACAAATTGATTTGCTACTTATTTTATAACAAGTAGTAACAGTGTTAAAGATTATTGTTGCATTTTTCCACCAGTTTCAATTGTTTTGATTTTAAGCACACAACAACAATTATATTTTCATGGATAGGATATAAGGTTCTTCAACCGATCTCATTTGTGAGGTCACTAAGGGGTGTATTATGGGGATTTAATCAGTGGGCAGTCCTCTGGTCTTCTGATACCCTAGTAAATTCTCAGGGAAGAGTTTTATGTCCAAAATTAGTGAGGGAAAGATATCACCATCATCCCACCAGGTACAGCATCCCAAAATTGTTCCAAATATTTTAATATCTTGAGAATGAGAAAAGCAAAACATACTCCTGCATAGAACTAAAACTTTGGGGAACCTGGTGGGTTTTTGGAAAGCATTGATAGATACCAAACTATTGCCAAGTTCTAATTTATTCTGGCCAATATTTAGATATGGGAGATGCCCCCCACCCCAAAATTTGCAGACAAGGAAATACAAGAAGGCACAGTGCACTAATTCAGCTAAATTAACTGAGCGTATAAAGGCAGAATTTGAGATTGTAAGCCAATCCCTGACAATCAACAATCAGAAATGATTGATTTTTTCTTGTTGCTTGATAATTGCCAGATAGCTCATACTATCTAATTGTAGGACCAGGTCTCCTGGCAGCTGATATTCCATAAGTCAATATTTAAAATAATGAGAGGGAGATGGGTTGGTTAAGGCCAGGGCTATTCTCATGCTGTTTCTCTGTTTGCCAGCTCTGAACGTCTTCGCATCAACTGTTAAGTACCGAAGTCGTACACAATGATGTTAAGCCAGCAAACATGGAAATATGGGCATAGCACGAGAAAGCCCTTTGTCTTCCCTCCCTGATTGCTGAAGAATTTTATCGTCTGATCTCCAGAGGGTTTTCGAAGTGGCGTTGAACTGTTCAAGCTGCCCTACTCAAAGGTATTCAGGGCCAGGATACCTAACAATTGGAAGGAATGCAAAGGAAAGGAAAGGAAAAAAAAAAAAAAGACCAAGAGACTTTAGAACATTGTGCTTTAGCTGTTCTATAATGTTGTTTTTATGATGAAAGAAAAGGAGGGGGAAATTGTTATCATCGACCACTACTCTATGTGAATGGTGGTGAACTGTGAGATACACCTTTCATTCTTTTCTGTTGCTTCTAGCTGCATTGTTTTTAATTGATTCATTCCCTTAATTTATTTATGTTCACAATACCTGTGGTCCGTTCTTCCCAGTCTTTATTCATATTGAAAAAAAAAGAGCAATAACTGTTATGCATATACACTTGAAACAGACAGTGGTCAAATTCTTTATACTCCCTGCATTTCTCGACAAAAGCTTTGTGTGCTTCACAGTGGGGGGGAAAATGTTATTTATTTTTGGAGTATTTCGTAGGAAGACATGGTCACTACTATCAGAGTAGCCAAATCCAGGGTGCTTGGGTTGTTCTTTTGTTTTGATTTGCAAACTTAGTTCATTTCAATATTGGTGATCTTCTTAGCAGGATGAGAAGCTACTTTCTCACCCATTTTGACTATATTGTATGAGAGGGGAAAAGACAGTTTCCAGTTAGAAGTTTCTTAAAAGTTAATGCAAGCTAAACTTTTAAGAAGAGAAATTTACAATGTCGCCCATCCTCAATCAGGAAGAGTCTGATAGCACCTTTTAATAGGTTTATAAATAAGGCATACCTATTGGTCCTGATGCTTCTGATCTTTCATAAAACATTGGAGACCTTGATGTGAGGAGGGGAAGGAGTCAGGAAATTAACTGGCCTGTTGATTTGGTCTGGGTTTATCCTCAACTTTTTAAAAAAGAAAAATCTTTTGCTATTTTTTTTTTAAAGTTAGCTCCTTCGAGTTGCATTCACAAGATCAGCTGGTGTAGAAATCAATGTAATAAATAATAAGTAAGCTTTCGTGAGCGGCTGCTCTCATTGTGTGAAGGTACTACTAAATTCCTTCTGGTTTTTGGAGAAAATTGACTCTCTTCCTTCTACAAGCAGAGAATAGAACAAATATAGGAGGAACGTGATAGTACAGACTAGAGATTTGTGCGTACAAAGCGGGGTGCAGGATATCCACCCGTGATGTGATGTTAATTGCTTAGGGTGAAGTTAATATTTTAAAGGGAACCTCCATTGGTACAATATACACTGAATTCCAGTTCTCGAATATTTATATATATAAAAAAACACTTGCTTTTAATGCAACGTAAGGCTGTTAACAATGGAGAAAAAATGACTATTCTTGATTGGTGTTTATCATATATTGAGAATGTACACTTCTATGTCTGGTCCAGTTGCGTTAGTATGTTTCCTTGTCCCATCTTTCAGGCAATAAGAAATAGAATATTGTACACTGTATCTAACAATCTTGCCTTTCTTATACAATTTAACGAGCAAAGGCCCACATGGGGGAAAAAAGAAACAAACAGGAACAAATAGATGTTCTTCCTGTAGGATTTATTGGACAGAAACTCTGCAAGCTTGTTCTTCTTTTCTTTTAAAGAGAAAAAAACGGCATAAAAGGGGGCTATTTTTATTTTATTTTATTTTTTAAAAAACTATTATTATAGGGGTGCTATTAGAAAAATTCATTACATGAAAAAGAGCACTGTCCCCTAACTGAATACTTCGTATTTGACTGCCACAAAAAGAAATCTATTTTGCACATTCTGTTACTATATGTGTACCAGGCAAGCAGAAACACACACACAAAAACAAACACAAAAATAAACACATAAACACACACTTAGACACACACAGGAGTTTTCATTCCATGTATTCTCCATGTCTTTGTCTGGAATTCTTAAGAAATTCATGGAACCTTCAGACAGTGTAATGTATAGTGAACACTAATGACTCTCATTCCTTTTCCAAACCACACTATTAAGAGTGCCTATCTTAAGCTTAATGCAGTCAATGTAGAGATGCTTCCTCAAGTTCAGTTCTTCCTTAAAAAAAAAAAAAAAGAGGGGGGGGGAGGAAAATGAGCTGGAAGTCCATGATGGGCATAGAAGCTTCGTATACTCACTGGAATTCAGTACACCAGTGGTTTTCAACCTGTGGTCTGTGGACCCTTGGGAAGCTCAGGATGTCAGGGGGTTCTGCGAAGGTTTGAAGAAATGATTTAAATCTTGGGAGTCCATGGCCATGTTCCGTGGCCCCAAAAGGGGGTGGGGCGGTCTGTTGATACCACCACAGTATACAGTTCCCAAGGAGGATCTTGAGCTTTGGTATGTCTGAATAAAAACACTTGCACGCACTAGCCTTTATATTTAATTAAAAACTCAGTATCTAATGTAACCACACTTTAAAGCTGAATTTGCTGTATTCCACTTCCTCTCTCGTCCAGCTGTAGATTGTAAACTAGACTTTAGTGCAAATTCCCACCCAATATTGACTATTGAATTCTTCTGATGGGAAATGGTTACGTGGTTCTCTGGTTTGTATACTATAATAAATTATACAAATTATATATAACAGGATCCTAACTGAAAGAAACAACTGGTTGTAAGGACACACCTTTTCAAAATAGAGATACATACAGAACAAAGAAACAACATTTCTTCCCTCTTTCCTAATTCAGTGCAGATATTTTGTTCTGAAACTTGCTGTTCAATACAACAATTATTTTGAAACACCTTTGTCCAGCCTGCCTGAGTTCCAGATGTGAGCATTTCAACTCCTAGAATTTTCAGCCATGCCCAGTTGATCTCTGCACATCTGGATAATGCTCAGATTGGATCAGATTCCAAGAGATGCAGACGAATCTGTCATTTTCTGGGATAATCACATGTTTTCAAGCACCAGGGAATTCTGTTCTGTTTTCAAATCTGTTAGTAATGTGTTGTTTTCTCCAAGGTTCTGCATGAAAATTGATGCACATTTTATTTCCAAAGTGTTCTGTTGTAGACCCTTTCCCCCCATTGTACACGGTTTTCTTTAATTCACACCTGTAGGTTTTTTTCCCCCTCAACATGCACATTTTTGTACGGCGATTTTTAACTGTAGAACTGCATCACAAAATTAGTGTGAAAACTGAAGAATAATTATCTTACCTTATTGCTTTGGAATGTGTAAATGAGTTGAGCTTGTATTAAAAATGTAAAGTAAATGAAATTCATCCCCATGAGGATCAAGTGATGTGAGGCAGTCCAGATGGGCAAGACAACAGAATGTAGTACATGCTTAAAACTTTAATTCAATTACTATGATTTTAAGAAGTGGCTGGAAACAATAAAATAGGGCAACTGGTAGGGAGGGAGGCATCTCCCAAATGAAGGAGAGCTATAAAGTGGGAAATAAATTCTTTGACTCAACTATCATTCATTTGGACTGTTGAAATATGTATAGTACAATGCTGTCAGGAATGAAGAGTTCAAGTTGAATAAAAGTTGTGTCCAACTCTAAAGCTGAGAAAGCCAGCATTGTCTGAAGGTGCTTCTGTGGTCATGTGGCCAGTATGACTATATACCAAGGCATATACAATGCTGTTACCTTTCCACCAAAGTGGTACCTATTTATCTACTCACATTTGCATGCTTTTGTACTGCTAACTGGGCAGGAGCTGAGGCGAGGAACAGGAGCTCATCCCGTCACATGGTGGTCAGATCTTAAACCCGGGCTGTCAGCTTTCTAGCTGACAAGCTCAGCATATAGTGCCCCCTCTCAAATTGTCTCCCTTATTGCAATTCTGTCTATAGTAGAGGAGTCCCCCCCCCATCCATTCTATGCATTTGATATATTTGGTCTAAGGAAAAAGCTTTGCTTTAGTCTCTATCACATTTTCTTGTGTCATCTTTAGCACATTTTTTCCCAGTCTTCGAAAATGATTGTTTCTCTCTCCTAGAATATTATCAATCTTGTGTCATTGGAAAATAAAACATTCTTTTGTTCTACATCTTTATCCAATAAGTTGAATACCAGGCCCTGAACCAAATCTTGTGGTACTCTAATCAGTTCAAACCATAGTTCGGTTCAGGCTGACATCTGCAGCTGAGTGCAATAGCTTATTTGACAAGTCCTGTTGTTGTTTTTTTAAATCCAGGATTTGTATTATGTGTCAACTGAGCCTATATTTTATATCACTTCAAGCAGCTAATGCTTCTTGATGGTCCAGGTGATGAACTTATGTGTTTTACCTGACTTTGAAGAAGATTGAGTTCAGGAAAGCTATCTTTCCAGCATTCGGCTTTGCCTTGGTATTAAATTTGCACCTTTCCTTGTTGACATGAGGATGAGAATATCACTAGAAATTTAGCTATTGGATCTGGATCTTAAGTAGTAGTAGTAGTACGGACAAATAGCCCATATATAAATCTGTTGCCAAAAATATATGCTGTCTAAAATAAATTAAAAAGTTGAATAGATGTGCATTATTTGTTAAAAAAAAAAAAAGAAGTAAGGAAGTTTGCATTGATAGACAGACCAGAAGATCGTACTAATATTTTCCCCATGTATTTCCCTATATATCACCTGTCACTTTGTCAATTGTTAGGTGAAGACAGATGCCTTAAGTATTGTTATACCTTTTTGTCATATTTACTGACTTGGTTCTAATAAGTGGGTCTTCCCAAGAGCATTCATCAAAGCAACAGCTACTATCTTGCACTAAGGCACAATTCACTGAGGAAGTGAAGATGCACAGAAGTCAAGAGGAATATAGATTACTTATTTTTTGATCATGTAACTATCAGCCAGAGCATGTGGCATTGTGGCATCCCACAAAGTATTCACTTCCTAAAGCTTTAATGTACTTTTGTGAATCGCAAAGAAAGTCAACATTTTCCTCCCTTCGTGTAAGCTTCGGATTTCACAAAACTATTTGAGAACATGGGCCTTAAAAAAACATTTTTGGGGTCTTTTTTGGAGATTGGGGAGGGCACAGGTTTTAAAATGCTTAAAGGAAAACCTTAATGAATTGCATGGTTAGCTTGGGGAGTTAAGGCTTAGATTTCCTGTTAGAACAATTGATCAGTGGAACAACTTGCCTCCAGAAGCTGTGGATGCTCCAACACTGGAGATTTTAAAGAAGCGATTGGACAACCATTTGTCTAAAAGGGTATAGGGCTTCCTTCTTGAGCAGGCAGTTGGACTAGAAGAACTCCAAGGTCTTTTCCAACTCTGTTATTCTGTAATTCTTTTTCTAGTATTGGCAAATCTTTTCTGGTATTTGTTCTTCACCATTACGTGTTTAATCCCCAGGGACTGAGTGCCATGATCAAACATGGAATTAGTATGTCACTTAGCAGTAATATTCCACATTTTGATGTCTTCAGAAGTTTACAGGTCTGTCCATTGAGTGTCTGTCTACTCAATACCCATAGGTGGGAGCAGCAGGGCATACACATCATAGGCAGCTGGTCTTAATGAGATATTTATCCTTCTGGAGGCACCTTATGCCCTATCTCTAAGACATCTCACAGAAAATGTAGCATTATGCCTTGACGTTTTCTTGAGATGGAGTGCATTTTCCTCAGTCGGCAGTTCTGTAACTTCTATCAATAAATGAGTGCAGGAGATGGAGATACTCTTTCTGATTGGGGGGTGGACCGTTGCTTCATTTCAGAAAAGCATTTTGAAGGGTTGGCTCCATCAAAAACCTTGTACACTCAAGATTTTCATAACCCTAGTAAACAGCTATTTTCTCAGGCTGGACCTTGGAGAAATGCAATTTTCTGCTTTGAACAAGGACTCAGTTTGATACAGCTACTACACTCATTCTCGGAGAAATGAGCAGCTGTGGAAAGCAATCTTCTGTTCTTGGGTATGGAATATTAGCAATACATGGGCATTTGGTATCATTTGGCAGAGAACAGTCTCTGCTAGTTCAGCAGGAAGCTTGAAGAACTAAACAAAGTGGCTTGCCCTGCTTTTTAAGCAATGCTTTTCTTCCAGATTTTGAAAAAAAGAAAACCAATTTTGCTGATGTGGGAAACATAGCAAGCCTATCATTAAGCATGGTAAGGCATTAAGCTCAGATACCACGTTTTTCTCAGAGGTACCCATGACACGAATGAATTGCACTCTCTTTCTCTTAATCAGTAGACCAGCTATGTAGGTCAGCCAGGATTTGCTAAGTCTTTGTTGTGGCAATGGTTTTTACTGTTTTTCCATCTAGAGTGGGCCAATTTTCATGGGATCAATGTTGGTCTTCCTCTTAATCGCAAGAGAAGAAAGGGATAATGCTACTTCAGTGAGTTATTTTCATGTTGCTGTTGGCTGGGAGAAAGCGAAGTAGGGCCTGTTTAAAGCTAAACTGAACCCATCAATTAACCTCTTTTTGAAGTTCCTCCATTGACCCATGAATCCTCATGATAAAGGCTGGAGAATAATACCCCTTATGGCTTCCTTGCCAGGTAATCAAATGGAAGATGTTCTTTCGTTGGGTGGTGATGGGAGAGAATCTGCTCCTTTATCTTATTAATTAGGAAACTCAGTTAGTGGTAATCTGTTGATTTTACCTAAAAGAGGGTCATCTACTCCACCAGGGACATTTTGAGAATTTCTGGGACTTGAAGTTCAGACATTTGGAGTTTGCTAAAGCTGAGAAACTCTGGATTACCAGAAACTCTGCAAATATCATACTGGAATGTGTCCCCATCCATCCATTCATCCATTCATCCATCCATGTTTCATATTTCTTAACCTCCCATCTCTCTGGCCCTATTTCTCTCTGCAGTTGCCAAAGGTTAAACATTTGTGCACAAAGCACAAAATTAAATGAAAACGCTGCATCATGCATCCTTGTGGATACTTTCAGAATAAATTGTTAAGTATACTTTAGAGTGGAGATTTTTCAGTGTGATTAAAGAAGAGGGTAACCATTAAGCAAAGCCTTTCTTTTTGATTTTTTCCCCTGAAATGAACGTCGGAAGTCAGAAGCCAAATGTTTTTTTTCTGAATGCCTTCTCAAATGCTTCAAGGCATAGTTCTTTGTAGAAAATGGACTGGAAAACAAAAGTTGGAGATAGAAGACAGTATTCGTAAGCCTGTAATAGGCAGTCTAATGTCCCAAATTGATCACTGAAGATGATCATAAAACTCCATTATAGAAATTTTGGCATTTGGTTTAGTTAAGTCTCTGTTCCAAGAAGTAAATATACTCTGCTTCCCTGCTCTCAAAATTCAAGACAGCTTCGCCCTCAATGTTGAGAATTGTGTTGTCTTAACTTTTTCCCGTGTGAATAATGCCAGTTAATAGGAAGTCAGATTTTAGTGGATCCAATCCCTGGTCATTCAAAACTGAATTCTAACAGCTCAGAAGAACAAGTAAGCTGTGAGTTTCTGCCATCTAAAACAAATGTCCGCTGGCCTGTTGGGTAAATGTCACCATTATTTATTTATTTTACTACTTGATGGGAGGGTCAGGGTGTGAAGACTTAAAGTGCACAAGTTAGAACTGAAAGATGGAAATCCGTCTGCAACAGGGACACCGTGACAGAAGATGGAAGACTGTAAATATGGTTTTCAAGTGCTTATTGCCCTTTCTGATGAAAAGGGCAGACTGTTTTTAAATATTTATGACTTTCTTGGTCAAAAGCTGCCACTAATTCTTTGTTGCATGTATTTGTATGTTACCTGTATTTTTCTTCAGGTTTTGTTTTTTTTGGGGGGGGGGTTTAGGGTCAGCAATATATTAAAAGGAAGGTACCCATTTTCACATTTTGAGCTTGAGCAAGAACAATACTTGGTTTCAACGAACAAATATGTGGAAGTCTCTAGAATCTTTGGGGGAAAAAAATGCACAACAACATCTAGTATAAGATTAAAGAATCCCAGGGTGTGAAAATAAATAGTAGATGGACGTCTATGATGGGACAGTTTACAAACATAGTTGTGGAAATTATGGATTTCACATGTTCACCCAAAGCTTAATGAGCTTGCTTGATTGTTTTTTGTCCTTTTTACCCCTAAAATCTTATCAGAACAGTAACATTATTTGTGTATGTAGATTCTCAGTCATCTAGGTCATGGTTGTTCCAAAGGAACATCCTTTTTCAAAAGATTTTTCCTTGAAGATGTTTTGCTTCTCAGTTCTGAAGAAGCTTCTTGGATGGGAAGTGAAATGTCTTCAAGGAAAAACAAAGAAAGTCCAGTTACTTTTTGAAAAAGCTTCTTTGGGACAGTAGCAATAGTTGTTCTTAACAGATACATCAATTATTCCTAAGACGATCAGAGTTATATATATATCTTTCATCAAATCACAGATGAATTTTGCATTCTAGAATGAAATTCAGGAATTGCAGCCAAGTGAGGATTGCACCAAAGATGTTTACATTTAAAGATATTATTTTTTTATAGGGAAGCTTAGTTATGGAAGAAATAAAGAAAAAAAAAGTAACGCAGTTAATATCAGTATATAAGAGAGTTTCCTTGGATATACGGCAGGAAATGTACACACAAATCCTCCGAAATGTTATGTCTATCATATATGGCAGCCCAATTATTAAAAAGCATTTAGCAACCAAGAATGATAGATTGGTTACAGTTATTTGGCTTTAAAACACTAACTTGGCAGAGATGAATATGCGCTTAGTTGTTTACAAAATTCCAGCATCTGTCCTTACAATCCTCTTATAAGGAAAAAAAAAATCAGTTCAGAATTAACAAATGGCAACATGGATTTTGAAAAGGAGATGGAATCCAGCAGATTATCCACTGGGAAAGATTTTGTGGTTCCTCGGTTAACTGCTTTTAACCTTTGTGTTAGACTTGTTTGCCATGTTTCAAATGCTACCGAGACTTCAGCCATGAAACATTTTAAAAGGCATCAGAGAGCTTGAAATATATATCTCTTGCAGATGAGGTTACATGTCCTGTTCCAAGGAAATAAAATTTCCTTATAATTTTATAATGAAACTTATTTAAAAATGTTTTTTTCTCCCAATTTACGTGGACATTCCTGAGGGTGGGGGAAGGGTGGTCAAAGATTGTCAGCTATGGCAGTGTGATCAAATCTTTCCCCAATTTTCCTCTGTGTGCTCCTGTTGATTCTTATTGTCAATAAGGTCAAATTTTAGGGAGCATCAACACTGAAATGACTTCCAAAATATAGAATAAAAAAATCAAATCAAAAATCAAGTAAGTGAGTTACTTACATTATATACATACATACATCAGTATCAGCACAGCCCCTATGCCAGTGTGCCCCCTTGAGGGTTAGAATAATTTTGCAGAATTGTTGCCCTACAACAAGAATGGGTGTTACTATTGTTTGTGTTCACATCTTTTGACGTTGCAAAAATCTCTACTGCACGGGTGTCAAACTCGATCGCATCACGTGACATGAAGTATCTTGACATTTTGTGGCTTTGTGGAGCTGGGGTGGGCGTGGGCTGTGCGTGATGCATCCGGCCCGCAAGCCACCAGTGTAACACCCCTACTTCTCTAAAGCTCTCAAGATTATTTCTCCTCCAGCAATATTTTTAGTTCAGACATCTAATGCGGAACCTCTTGCTTGATTTCCTTAGCATGGGTGTGAGTGATGTTTGGATGATTGTGTTCCGCAGAAAGAGCTGCACCTGTTGATCTTTGGCCCATTTTCAATCTGGGATTACTATATGGCATTTAAACCTGTCTGTTCTAGAAGCTGATTCAATAAACACGTATCAACAAGGATGCCTCTGTGCATTTGTGCATACAAATATTTTTAAAAACTCTTCGTTGCTTCCTTATAGACAGGATCTGAAGATAATTACAATGCATCAATAAAGAGAAATGGTTTTTGACTTGAGTGCCTTTATAGTCTCTGAATTGCAGTCCACACCTCTCTAGCAGTGCAAGCAATTTTTCCATTTCTTCTAATGCCTCAAAAATTATAGTCTTTTTCTCAACAATAAATCTAAATTACCATCTTCCTCCTGCCTCTGTCTTGTGCCTCCATCCTACACACGCCTCATAAAAATCACTTCTGGAAATTTCCAGACTCATTCAACAATGACCACCGTAAAAGCTACAGCAAATTTGGGATCTCGCTAGGGAGTTCCTGCAGACACTTTGTGCTGCACAAAGTCACACGAAACAAAAAAGAAAGAATGAAAGGAAATATGGATGGAAAACAAGATCTTTTTAAGAAGCAAATGTGTCATGCAGGTGGATTTGTAAAAATAGCTAGAGATTTTTGAATTCAACTACATACAATTATATGAAGAATTTTAAAGATCAACATTCAGATGAAGGCAGAGATTTTCTTGCTAGAATTAATGGACAGCCAGCTAGAAAGACGAATGCATGTTGCCTATAAAGAAATTTGATTTGTGAATACATTTCTGATAAATTGTAAGTACTATGTGGAAGTAAGTCATGAAAAGTTTGTTATATACAAACTTCCAAGTTCCAGCAAAAGCCTGTTTTTAACAAGTTATCAGTGATGTTGCTCTCCTGGTGAAACTTTAGAAAACTTTAGAAACCACTTTGATCTAGTGCAGTGGTTCTCAACCTGTGGGTCGGGACCCCATTTGGGGTTGAACGACCATTTCATGGGGGTCGCCAAACAACGCAGTCCGCCATTTTTCCCCCCTTTTCCTTAGCTGTGCTACTCCCTTTTATTCTATTGGCTTTTGAAAGCCAATAGAATAGACTCTCTTGAATAGAGTCTAATTCTATTGGCTTTCAAAAGCCAATAGGAATTGTCCAGGCTGTCTCTGCCCTGCTGAGCCCACCAAAAGTCCCATTCTGCAAACGGTGCTGCACCAGTTGAGTAGTCCTCGACTTACGACCGGTTGGGGGTCGCGGCATTAAAAAGGTTGAGAACCACTGATCTAGTGGTTAAAGCAGCAGGTTAGATATCAATGAGACAATGAGTTCTAGTCCTATCTTGGACACGAAAGCCAGCTGAATGACTTTGGGCCAATCACCAGGAGACGGTGAGTTCTAGTCCTCCCTTAGGGTGACTTTGGGCCAATCAAAAGTTGCAAATTTCGCATTAGGTGGCTCAGCTAGTTTGCTACAAGCTTCCTGCTACTGAAAGTCCTGGGGAAGAATCCACTTCCTGATGTCTTGCATGACAAACATTGGAAGCCAAAGCATCCTTGGATAGGGGATTGTTCCATGAAAGACAAGCCATTCAAATCAAACCTTTCATTGAATTGAATAATTCACAAGCCCTCCCCAGTCAGAATTTCCAGGAAGCCCACAAATTATGACCAACTGAAACCAGAATAGCTGTTGCTCAATGAGTCATGTCTGAAAACAACCTTTTTTTTTGCTAATCACCATAGATGTTACACGAATCATGTAATTGTTGATCAAATCCAACTTCTCCCAATGTCTCTGCTGGCCAGAATACAGCTAGGAAAGTCACAAATTGTGATCACGTGACCTCGGGGTGCTGAAACCTTCAAAAATGGCTGGTTGCCAAGCACCCAAATTTTGATCACATGACCCTGGGGACGTTATGATGGTCATAAGTACAAGGACCAGTCACAAGGCACTTTTTCCAGCATTTTAGTTTTGAACGGTCACTAAAGGAATGATTGTTAAGTCAAGCACTACCTCTATTCAACCTCTTTTCCACTTTGGAACAAGTTCAAAGCGAGGTCCTTACTCAAACTGAATGTGAAAAGTTAGATAAAAAACCAAGTTCCTATCATCTACTGAGGCCTGGCGCTTTATTTATTTATTTATTTATTTGTTTTTCTCACAGAGCAAAAAGCAGCTTGAAGCGGTACCAAATTAAGAGAAAGGTTCCTCTTCCTGATTTATTACATTTTTAATCTGCCTAATAACTTGAATGTGTCTGTCCAATGTCTAACTGAGGCCGGCCTCAGATTTATCGTGCATTTAGCTCAAGTTTCAAGAGTAACATCCACAGCCTTTGGCATCGTCATGGGAGGGGGAAGAGGTAACCCCAATGCTACCGGAGTGGTAAATGTACTTTGTAGGAGATAAAGCTCATTAAAATTTGTCATTTTTGTCTAACAGGATGAATATCCTTCCAGTAACATTGGGCAGACTTTAATAAGAACTGATGGATGGGTTCCCTGTGTGAACCCATCCATCAGTTAGCTATAATTAGAAGTAAGGCAACATTATTATAAAGCATTGTCATGTTGGACATTTACAATTATTGTACTGTGATTTTTTTTTCCCCAGGCTCTCCTGATTGGTTGTTTATTTGTATTCACTGGTGTCCTTTGCTGATGAGCAAAAAGCCTTTAGAGAAACAAAATTTAAATGCAGACAACATTTCATTTAGTGACGGTGCAAAGTTACAACCGCACTGAAAAAAAGGGAGTTATGACCATTTTTCACAGTTACGACCTTTCTGGCATTCCCCAGGATCATGTGATCAAAATTTGGATGCTTGGCAACTGATTCATATTTACGACCGTTTCTGTGTCCCAAGATCTTCTGACAAGCAAACTCAATGGGGAAGCCAGATTCACTTCACAACTGGGTTACTAACTTATCAACTTAGCAGTGGAGGCAAGAAAGGTCATAAAATAGGGCAAAATCCACTTAACAAATGTCTCGCTTAACAATTCTAACAAATTTTGGGCCTCAATTGTTGTCGTAAATTGAAGATTACCTGTTAACCTGGAATGGGGTTATTTTAGTGTGATTAATCACAAGGAGAGGATGAGATCTGATCTCTTGTTAAGAAAAAAAAAAAAAAACAGGAAACTCTGATGGATTGCAACTATTTTGTTGTGTTTTTCATCTTCTTAAATCAAATACATTTTTTCTCTGGGTAAATGGAGTGGCGGGTAGAGAATAATCCCAGAATAAATCAAAGTTATGCTATAAATGTCTGTAAGGATGAACGTCCAGCACCTTTGTTTTTGTCTTATTAAGATGAAGAGTTACTGTCAAAGTCTGATGAAGTTCAAAGTGTCAAGATTGTAACAAAACACAACGTATATCAAATGCATCTGGCAGCAAGAAACAAAAAAAGAAAGAGAGAAAAAAGAGGGAAAACGTTTTTATTAAGACGAAATCCTGATGAAAAATGCCATTTAAGCTTTGATTTTCTAGCAAGCAAGTGCTGAGAGCATAAACATGAAGATGGTAAATTATATTTAATGGAGTTCATTTGTGCAGTCTGAACTCTGAAGAATCAATCACCCCATTCTTTTAATATGAGGAAAGCAGGTTGGCTGACCTCGGTGACAGGAAAAATAGAAAATGTCACTCGCCAATGTGTAGTTGCACGCAGCACTACAAATGTTCCGATGCTGGGTTCTTTATTTAGCACATGGGGCTTAAATGTGATGATCCATGGTTCAAGTTAAGGATGAGCTGAATGCTCTCTGGGGAAGCTTAATTCAAATTCAGGGCTGGAAAGTCGGGATAAAAGGCTTCCTCAAATGGCAAATAGCATTTTCCCCAGAAGAGCCTGTGAGTAATGTTATATGATAATATGGCATCAGTCAAAAGTCTTAGAGGGCATTTCTGGTGGGAAAAAAAATGGTGCTCATTTATTCAGATTAATATCATTGAATATCTCGCCTCACATTTCTCTAGAACACTAGTTGGGAGGGGGAAAAAATCCAGCGATGGATCAAAGCAATGGTACACATTTCAAAAGGAATGAATAAACAATGAAGGATAGATATTTCTAGCCGGTTATAGCAAAATTCTTAGCAAGCCCACCATTTCCCAGTGAAGGATGTGAAAGAAACCCAAATTTATTTTTCTTTTCCTAAAGGGAAATGACATGATTTACTTAAAAGAATCCGTTGTGGCATAGATAACTATAATCATGAAGTCCATTATTGTTTAGAAGCGGTATACCTATATATTATGGTGGAAAGTCACATATAAATGTAAATAGAGACACTGGAATAATTGCATAAATCACAGAATCAGCCAGCATTATATTATGTTAAACAAGCAAAGGGAAAAAAATATGGAACAAGTTATGCAGATTTTCTTTCTTTTTTTTAAAAAAAAGGGTAACACTGATGGAACGTATTACCATTACGAATATATGCAGGAGTAAGGACAATTCTTCATCTTTGATCATCATATTCATTTGGGGGGGGGAGGTGGATTTAGCCCCTGAAACAACTATAGCAATAGCAGCTTTTGAATAGCCGTCAAAAACACTTTGACCTTCAGATTCTCTGTAGCAGAGATCCCCAACCTTTTGGGCACCAGGGATCAGTTCCATGGAGAGAGGTTTTTCCATGGACTAGAGAGTGTGTGGTTTTGTGTTCCGCCTGCATCCCATGGATGGGGCTTTGCTTGTTTATGCGGACCGGTTGCTGGCATGCCCTGGCCTGGTATTGGTCCATGGACCGAGGGTTGGGGACCACCTCTCTATAGGTTCTTCTGAGCAATTGGTGGGTGATTCCCTCTTGTAGCTGGCTTGTCCTGAGGTTTGAGGTCAGAAAGATCTACCTTTGGTAGTATGATAGTACGTCCTTAACATAAGACCACAATTGAGGCTAAAATTTCTGTTGCCAAGTGAAACAACTGTTCAGTGAGCTTTGCCCCATTCTACTATCTTTCTTGCCACTGTTGTTAAGTGAATCTTTCTAGTTGTTAAGTTAGTAAGACAATTGGTAAAGGAATGTGGCTTCCCCATTGACTTTGCTTGTCAGAAAGTTGCAAAAGGGGATTGCATGATCCTGGGACACTGCAACCGTCATCAATATGAGCCAGTTGCCAAGTGTTCCAATTTTGATCACATGACTGTGGGGATGCCTCAATGGCCATAAATCACTTTTTTCAGTCCTGTTGTAATTTTGAACGGTCACTAAATGAATGGTTGCATTTTGAGGATGACCTGTTTGAGATCTATTCTGAAGCTGTTGTGGTATCAAAGGCTGTAAGTTTTTTTTCGTGTATTTGGATCTCACACTCAGGTGTTTCCCACATCTATCATTTGAAGGAGTTGACATCGACAGACAAT